TTACAACACTGATGTCAATTGCCTATTCTACATTATATCTAATAGGAATTACATACTCTATAAATATTTTGTAGTACCAATAAATAAATAGTATATATATTTTTTTCAAATAGATAGATAAAAAATGTTTCATTTAATAAAAAAAGATTTTATTTTGAAAAAAAATTAATTGAAATTTTATTAGTATATTGTTTATTGATTTTTTAAAAATATTTTTTCTTATTTATGTATTTTTTAACTATAAAAATGTAAATTTTGTAAAATTTTATTTTAATTTTTATTCAAATTTTTAAAAAAATTATATTTTTGATTAGTGCCCATTATAATAAAATAATATAAAAAAATTAAAAAGATAATATTTTCTTCAACAAATATAAAGAAAGCTTCTCTATTACTTTTTTACCAACTAATATATATATATATATATTAAAGAAGCAAGACTAAAGCAATCTTTTATTTTTTCAATGACTTTTTTATGCTGTAATATAAGTCACAGTTTCTTTAATTCCTTATATACTCTTATATCTCCTGACTTGATAAATATATGTATTTTCTATTTTTTTATTTTTTATAATTTTAAATATATATATATGTTTAGATGCATACCTTTAATAAAAAATAAAAAAATACTAAATAATAAGAAATTTAGAAATTTAAAAAATTAAATTAGAATGAAAATATTTTGAAAATTTTATAAAATATTCTCAAAAATCATTATATGACAAATTAACTAATCTAATGAGTGATTTTTTATGCCAATATTAACATAATAGAATATTTAGAAATATATGTATGCTTATAATTTTTACTTATTTATTTTAAAAAATATATATTTTCTATTATTTATTTAAAAATAATATAAATATAGATATAAATAAATATAAATATAAATATATAAATATATATTTTTAAATTTATTAAAAAATAATCATAAATAAATTTTAATATTTTTACAAAATTTATTAATTACTTTATAATTATTATAGTAATTTTAATTTTATGAAATTATACCACTATTAAAATTTTAATTTTTTTATACTAAATAATTTTTTTTATTTGATTAGAGCTTTGATAGAATATAAATATATATACTTTTAATTATAACACAGTAATAAAAATAAATTATTGTGTATTTTAATACTTAATATTTAGAATTTTTTTATTATTAAATAGAAAAAACTAAATTTAATGAGTAAAAAAATCAACAAGTTCAATTTTATAAAGTTGAAAGTATTATAATTAAAAAATTAGATAGAATATTTAAAATATGAATGTAAAAGTGGTATTCTAGACTTGCTTGAAATATTAATTCTAAGATGATAAAAGAGGTGTTTTGAGGACTTAATAATATCAATAAATATTTTATTAATTTACTATAATTATTTTATGATTTTTATTTTAAAATTAAAAAATTTAGATAAATAATTAATATAATTTTTATAAGAATTATTTTTATGAATTTAAAATAGAAATAAATATTAAATTATTTTTTCTTATTTTTATGCTTAAAAATTATTTTTATATAAAATAATTCAAAGAGAGTAATTTTACTACTTATATATCTATGTATATATATATACACACACACACACACAAATGTGTGTGTATATCTATATATATATATATATACATATATCTATCTATCTATCTGTCTAAGGTGTTATTAATGCCACAACTTTTCATCTATTACATGTCATTATAGTTTTTCTAATATCACTATAGGCTATGCTAAATTTGTGTTGCATACCACAGTACATTTTATGGAATTTTGTTAGTACACACCACTATAATTAAAGTACACATTCTTTATAGATGTGTATTCTTTATTCCAAAAAATGTATTATAATGTGAAATACAAGTTTAGGACAGTTTGTGGTGACATTAGCAATAATTGTGATGATATGTGATAGATAGCAAGTTGTAATAGCATTAGCAAAAACTGTGGTGGCATTAGCAATATCTGATTGATTGATATATATATATATATATATATGTATATAATATTATATAGACACATATCAAATCCATTTGAAGTAAAAAACTAATGTTCTTTGAATAAAATAACATGTCCATTTTTTTTTAATTCCATCCAAGATTTGTTGAGTTATCGTCATGAAACCAAAGTGTTCATGCAACCAAGTGAAAATCAGTCGGAGCTCCAGCGAAGGAGTAGCGACGGAGACACATTGCCGTCTGTCTGTTCGTCCACTCATTCGTCTAGCCTTTGGTTCATTCGTTCGTTCGTCCGCACGCCATTTCGTTAGATCAGGCGCCTGCATCATCGTCGTCGTCGGGCAGGCGAGGGGAGGCATCCAAGGCATCGTAAGTGTCGTGGACGTTGCCCGACAGTGGGGAACGCCACCTCAGCTTTTCGGCTCTGCCCGGGCGCCACGTCGACCCCGGCCCAGCCCGGAGGAAAAAGAGAAAGTGAGAAAAAAAAAAAAAAAAAAAAAGTGAAACTCAAACAGAGAGAAAGACAACACACAACAACTGCTTTTGTTGCTTTTGCCAGACCTCGGTTTCAGTTCGGAACTGACCGTAGTAGTCACCCCTCTTCTGAGGGATTTGTTACATGAACCTGGGCCAACTTACTTTGTATGAGGGGTTTGAATCCTGTTCCTCTTATCTCACAACGGAGACCATTAACAAAAGTATAATAAGCATTAGTTAAAAAGAATAAAGGTGAAAGTGAAAAAGTGGAAGAAAGTGGAGGTTAGGGGGAAGCTTGAAGGGGACTCAAGGGAGGGCTGTGGGAGAGGATACGATGGTGGCAGTAGCCAAATATCTCATTGCAGCTTATCCGGCTCTTTCAAGCTTTTTCTTCTTCTTCTTCTGGCTGCTCGTTCTGCATTGAGTAAAGTGGAGTAATATAGAGGTCATCACCGACACCCCACACATGGCCCCCCTTTACTTCCACACAAACCAACCCCACCCCCCATACCCCCATCTACCCAGTTCCATCACCAAAATGAAAAGAAAAAGAAAAGATACAAAAAGAGGAAGGGAAAAAAGCAAAAAGGAAGGACAGAAGGCTTCCAATCTCACCTGGAGCAGGCACACAAGGCAGCAGAAAACTTTTCCCAACCAGGCCCTGCTTGCTTGCTTGCTGTCAACTGGTCTGTCTCACTTACCAAGCATTCTACTCTCTCTCCATTCACTGGGACTCAACACCTACTGAACACACACACACATATGTATATATATATATATATATATCCCTGGGCTTGTACTCGCCGCAATGTCAAGCTCCGACACTACCGATGCGAGCTGTTCGGGTGTTTCAAAAAACTTTGGTCTCGTGGAGGGGGGAAAGATACACACACTCAACAACAACAACAACCCACAATCCACAACCCACACACATACACGCTCCCTGGGCTACTGCTGGCCCTTCTGCACTCCTTCACAGCGGCGTGGAGGGAGTGGTCCTGCCATGCCATGGCTTTGGCATAATGTGGGGAGAAGGAGGCGTAGCAGGAGGAGTGGCAGAGCCAAACTAGCCGCTGGGCCTGCAGCGTTACGCAGAGGCATCGTAGCCTCTGTGGAAGATATGGGATTTAAAAAAATAAAAATAAAAATAAAAAATAAAAAAAACCAAAAAAATAAAAAGAGAAAAAAGAGAAGAGAGAGAGAGAGAAAGAAAATTTGCAAAGATGGCGGTCCTTGATTCAGTGAAGGGGAGAACGAGAGGAAGTCTGGGACAAGACGGACGAGTAAAAATATACATTCATCTAAGGAAAGGAGGAAGGCAAAAGGAGAGAGAGAGAGAGAAAAAAAAAAAAAAAAAAAAATCTTAGAAGAAAAAATCGATGATTCATACGAAGCGCGTTTCCTAGAGCTGCATGCTTATTGCGCGTTGTCCGACGCTACCGTAGGAGAATTTGATCTCTCCCAAAAGCAGCGAGAAATTTTCGAGGGGTTGGGGGGGGGGGGGGTTGGGGAAAGTGCCAGCCAGCCAGCCAGACCCCCGCAGCAGCAGCAGCTCTACGTGAACGTAACGTAGGCCAGGTGAAGCCAAGTTTAGAGGCTCAATTTCGGCGGAGGCGCATCAAACCCCCATCATTCGCTTCATCATGGCGACGCCACGTTTTCTCATGGGAGGAGGAGGAAGAAGTAGAAGTAGGCGCTGGCATGAAAGAGAGAGAGCCCATGAGCCCATGAGTCTGTGCGATGGATCGCAAATATGCTTTTTCCTTTGTGTCCGTGTGTGAATGAGTGAGTGAGTGAGCACTGGAGGGTGGATTGTTCCAGCGTGGCCTTGGCGCCAGATCTGGCGGTGGCCAAGCACCCACCATTACCACCACACAGACGAAATGCTTCGTTCTTATGATGAGTAAGAATGAGGACTGAGGAATAAAGTTTCTGTGTTTTTCAAACTTTGACTGGAATTCATCTTGTTCAACGTAAATTGAGGGACTGCCGGCTGCTGTACCCTCACCACCTTGAGGTTGGGCTTTCTCACCAGATTGTGGCGGATTCTGTCCATGAGTGTAGTGTTGAGGTGGCCGCATTGTAAGGCAGAATGAAACTAGGGTCGTACAGATAGCGCGCGGCTTTGCAAGGTGTTGTTCAACATCTGGGACCGGGGATCTTTCTCTTGGTTAGGAGAGAAGATCTGCCGGGGTTTTGATGTCAGAGCCTCTCTTTCTGCCCCTGCTGCCCGTCAGATGTGGCGTCGCATTCTGCTTACGTTTTTTGATGTTGCTATCGCAACTATCAGTGACAAAAAGCTTGCGCTGTTTGGGTCCAATCTTTTTTTTCCTTTTCCGTAGGATTGTTTGAAACGATATATAATTTAATAATTTGTTTAATTGCATGATATCCTGGGGTAGGATTTCGGGCGAAAGCCGAATCTTCTCTTAGGATAGGCTGGTGTTGCCTTACTTGAAAGACAACCCCCCCCCCCCCCCCCCCCCCTCCCCCCGTCTCCAGTGTGTGAGATCTCCGTGTGTCAGGAGTGAGCCGTGTACGCAATTCTTGTGTTAGAATCTGGTCGGGCGATGCACCGATTGTGTCGTAACAATTGCGCTGAAGCCCGCAGCTCTGTCAACCACGCTGAGCTGGTGTTACTTCTACCTACCATCATGCCGATTCAGCATGGCGTAACGAGCTCCTGCCTCCAAGAGTTAGTGCCATGCCGATATCTGTATTTTATCGCAACTCATACAGTCGACTAAATGTGTTGCATAATTGCATTCGGAGAGGATTACCCCGAGTCCACCAGTAGAGAGACCGAAACAGTGTCCACCTTGATCATCAGTTTCCCTGGTCACTCATCAAGATCGAGCTTCGACGACGGTAGAGAGGAAGGATTTGCATCCCTGACACTGCTAATCCTAGTTTTTGCCTTGAGGTGGTGAATCAGCAGCGATGGCGACGAACTGGAATTTTGCATTGCTGCTGGTACTCACGTTAGTGGCGCTCATGACCTTCGGTCAGCCGCTGTTTCAATCCACGCCTAGTAAGTCACGATGTATGCATGCTTCACTGCTGCCTCAAACTTTTGTTTTTTGTTAACTAGAGAATGGAACAGTGGGAAAAAATTCATTTCGTCTTTCTTTTACGTCCACTATTGGTGGTTGAAACTCTTCATAATCATCGCCCGACGTCAGGATTACTTTGTGGTCTGCTTGCTTTGTTCGCCCCTTAAACCCCATTCTCGTACTCTCTTCATCATTCTGAAAGTAGTTCTTTTTTTGGTATTCGTTGTTCCTGAGGCCATCCGTTTGCTTGATCAGATTTTGTAGCCGGCGTAGAGGAACACGCGCGTTCAGATGCGGTTGAGAAAGAGAGCCTCGATGAACCGGGGGGTAGTCCCACCTTCACGGTACTGCTAATGCGGGCATATTTTTCACAACAACTGAATCCCACATGACTCACTCTGAAGTCAAGAATTGCGTAGATCTAGTCATATTTGAACTTGGTTTCAATTCCACTGTCTGCATGAAGAAATGAGTAAATGCAGTTTTTAAATATCCTCAAGCAGTTTTAAAAAATATAGTCGGCACTGGCGCATTGCTCACTGCGTTTTCTCATTTGCTTCGTCAGTAGTCTAAATCTGTAATCGAATGAATTGCGTTAACAGTTTTGCGTTCCCCTGCAGACAATCACCGAGGTCGAACCATCACCCTGTGAGTCGTGGAGATTAGTCACCTTGCGACGCGGGTCCCGAAGACCTCAGTGGACGCGGAAGCTGATACAAGGCGACGTCTCGCCCCCATCTCATGTGCAGCTTCAAAGGCGAGTGATCAACTTCAGAGGGAAGAGAAAACTCCTGATCAGACCAAGCCCAGAACTAGCAGGCCGACCCCCGAGAACGCGCGCCAGGGATGTTTCACCTGGAGCCAAGCCCACTCATGGAGCCATTCCTCGGAGGTCCGTGATAAACACTTTCCAGTCCGATCGCATGGTCCCCACTGGACCGAATCCTTTGCACAACAGCAATCGGTCTCAAGTCATCTTCCCCTAAAAGGAATCCTCATCCCTCAATCCGTCGAGGAGAGCTAATATTGCTGCACGTAGTAGTCTCGGTGCCTCACATCACAACTTCCACCAGTCGCGATTTTTGTAAAGCATTTTGGAGACAACACTGGGCCCGAAGTGGGTAACAACAATGTAAAGGTCATGAATGAAACTAGTTACAAAGATTTTGTTTGCTAGGAGATTGACACAGATAGAATGAATCCTCGCCAATCACCAACACAAAGGAACTCGCATCAGGCACTGACAACATGGAAGTTGCAATTGGAGACAAAGTCCTGTCAGTTCTATGGTTATAAACTGCAAGGTTTATTGCATCGTAGGTTTCGTGTTTTGCATCCTACTGGTCTCGTTGCTGTAGATCTGGGTTTCATGCAGTGATCGATGAGTTTTGGGTCTAGAATCTGTGGTCTGTTATGATGTGTCCCATTTCACCTCAACGATCTTACTCAGCCTCCAATGGCGACACTTGTTTTTCTCTCAAACTTCACATTCTTCAAAGAGTCGCATCCCTCGCATCTGAGAGGGCTGAGTTTGCGGCACCCATCAACCTGAGAAATGTGCTCAGCATGTTGTCGTGATGTGTTTCCTGCAAATATAATCCCCGGGTCCACTCACCAAGCACTGACATGGCCTCGGTGTACATCTCATTTGGCCTATCCTCACTTTCTTCGACGCCGTGATTTGTCACCATTCAGCTTTTGTTGCAACACAGCAGCTTGCGATTGTCTCCAAAATAATTCCCACATCTTCCTTAGCCTCCATTTCTGTGGACTGTTTGTGTGGATCTCAATTACTAGCAGATAAGGGTCTCATTTACTAGGGTGAAAAGTCGGTACTTGTATCATCGAAGTGATCAGAATGATGCAAAAACAACAAGACCCAGACTCTCATAATCTGGTGATTTGGTGTTCGTTTTTGACAACAAATCCACACACAACATTCAGATGTTCACAAAATTCAAATGAAAGTAAACATTCTTCAACCCTTACCTCTTTACAAAATACACCAATACAAAATCACCAAGACATTCTGATCATTTCAGATTCAACATGCATTGCTCAAAAACAATAAGCACACAATAATAGACAAAGTCTAATATAATTCGACTTAAAGAATTGTTTAGAATCTACATCAAGAAGTTGTGGAATTGAAGGAAGCAAGTAAATCAATTTCACAATCAAATCTAAGAAGTTTTGCTTCTATGAGTATGATGGAAATAACAATTAATATGCTCAAGAAGTTTGATAGAACTGTTATGGAGATATAACTGAAGAAAGTTCGAGAAGATTCCAACATATTTTAGGAGGTTCTAGAAGGTTCTAAGAAGGTTCTTGTAGATCTTAGAAGGTTCTAGAAGATTCTAATAGGTTCTAAGAAGGTTTCAAAAGGTTCCAATAGGTTCTAAGAAAGTTCTAGAAGATCATAGGAGATCTTGGAAGGTTCTAAGAGACTTTAGATGATTTAGAAAGTTGCAAAAGAAGAATCTTAGACTTGCTTTGTTTCCAAGCTTCATGGAAACTTCTTAAAAATCTTCTTAGGACCTAGTATATAGGAATTGAGGTTGAGGGGATCCTCAATCTCGATAACTCACTTCTTATGGTCTATCCAAGACCTTCTTGCTTTGTATCCAATTATTTTTCTAATCTTGATCTAACTCCAATTTTTGGTCTTCAATCCTTGTTTTGTATATAGTCCCTAAAAATTTATCGAGAGTGCCATAAAACAATATTAGAAGCTTGATTTTTTTGACAAAGAATGGATTATTTCTCTTTTTAGAAATACTATAGTATTCTAGAGATTGTAGATTACCCTCTTTTAGACTAATATTGTTCTTTTTTTAATATTCTTTTGGTTTTTTTTTTCTTTATATCATAGATTATTTATTTATTTATTTATTTTTTTTTTTTCCTTTGAATGTATGTATTTTTCTGATTTTCTACAGTAGAAGGTAGAAAAGTCAATATGATATATTCCAAAGAGATCAAATTAGATTCTATTATTAATGCTCTTGAAGCATTAAAGATCAGGACAAAGACTTTATCGAAGTAGAATGAAGAACTATATATGACCATACATAATGGTTAAAGAGGCAAAGTACCTCAACTACCACATCAAATGACAATAGAGGTTCCAAATTCTCAAACAATTATATCTGCTTCAACAAACATGGGAGGTGCATGTACTCAAAGTAATGATTAGACAACAATAACAACAAAAGAACCAAGAATCACCTTTCTAAAAAAGTTTGATGGTACCCACTCAAAATTTTGTGGCTTTGTAAATCAAGTATAACTAATCACTTTGCTTCAACCTCAACGATATTCCATTGAAGCATCTTAAGTTGGTTTTGTTGGAACCTTACTTTCAGATCAAGCTTTATCTTGATTTGTTCCATTATTTTAAAAGAATTCTCCTATATTGTATAATTTTGAAGCATTTTTGGTAGCATTTATAAAATCATATTGTAAACATGATAAGGTTTATTATTCAACAAATATAATTTGAAGCCTTTGACAAAGAACGCATTCTGCATCAACATATGCCCTAGATTTTTAGCAATTAGCATATGATATGAATTGGAGAGAAGATGTGTTGAGGAGCCAATTTTATTGGAGATTAAGAGACAATGTCAAGGACTTATTATTATCTATGCTAGATCTTCAAACACTCAATGAAATCATTAGTCAAGATTTGAAGTGCGACAATTATTTATTTCAATGATGATAAGATAAACATTCTTTAATTATGCTACATGTATACACTAATTATTCTGTAACTACTTCAGTGTTCAATTCTAATGAGCATTTGAAAGTAAAAGATATTCAAATTGGTGTAGTTTCCTTCAAATCTCTTTTTGAGTAAGAAAAAAGACATCGAAGGAAACTTGGCCCATGCTTATATTATAAAAAACTTAGCTACAAGGTTGATAATTATTCAAAGAAATGCCAGTGTACATATCAAATGAAGAATGTGGCCATATCATCAAAAGCTTTGCAAGAAAATAAGGATGTCCAGCCATAATAGGGACTATGCAGTTGGATTCTTCATTATCACAAACCAAAAAAGGTCATATATGCTTTGTTAGTCCTTTCTATTATTTTACTATATCTGTACAATTAAGAGTCACAAAACTAAAATATCATGCATTACTTGACTCGAGAGCTCCTGCATGTTTTATTGATGAAGGATTTTTTAGATCACACAAAATCTGTATGGTCAAAAAATCCAAAGCCATATATGTAGAAGTAATAGATGGTTGACCTCTATTGTCTAAAGACATCACTCATGAGGCAATTCCATTAGAAATGACCTTCGATAATTATAGCAACCAAGTAGTATTCAATATTGTCATATTGTAAAAAGCTTATAGTATGTAAAAATTAATTAAAATATATTATATTTTAATAAATCTAGATGTATATTAGAATGGTTAATAGATTAATTCAAAGTGAGTGGATTTAAGAAACTTTATTTTGAGTTTTATCTTTTTTGATTATAGCATTTCAAAAAAATTATAAGACCTAAATATTTAGTATGAAGCCTTGAGAGGAGATTAGAGCCTAAAGAAAAAAATCTTAATTAGTAGGAGGCTTATTGGGAGAGATGAAAGGCATGGTTGGATGAAGGCAAAGAATAGAGATCTTCATTCTTATTGGTCGAAGGCCATATCTAATGGGCTTCAAGGAGGCTGCCTAAGGACTTATTAGAGATAAGCATTTCTCTTTCAAAGTCATTTGAACTTTGGAGGCTAGGATCTATAAGTTTAGGATTTTGGGTACAAATTGGACACAAATTTTGTGTGATTTGGAGTTTTTATGAAGGAGTTATTGGTACTCAAAGTTAAGGTATCACTTTTGTATCTACTATCATTCTTTGGGGCATAAAATATGTTTATAGAAAGCAACAAAAGATTGGCAACTAGGGTTGGAGAGAAAACTTCTTCAATCATACTTTTCATGTACTGTTTAATGAATTTGGAGTCTAGATGAAGATGTTATAGAGGGTTGAAGTCAGCACATCCAAATCAAAGGCAATAAGTAAGTGATTTTATTCATAGTAATGGTTGGAGCCATATCTTGAGTTTCTGGAAGAATTTTTGGCTCAAACTTTTTGAAAAAGATAGATAATTGTGTTAAAAAGCTATATATATATATAAATTTTGTAGCATTTGAGTACTTAGTTTGTGAGATATGAAGAAAGTTGTACACAGATGTATAAAAATTAGTGTTTGAAGCTACTGTTAGGGTTTTGGTGATATCTTAAGATTTGCAACAAATTTGTAGTTGAAACTTATTGTAGTTGTTCAAAGTATAGCAATATTTCATGTAAAATTTGAGGGTGTGTAGAATAGATATTAGTTCATTTTTGTAAGATATTGATAAAATAGATTAATAGTCCATAAAATAGTCAGTTCAGGAGGATGGATGGTTGATTTAGTTATTAAAAGTAGTTATTATAGGATTATGGTTAGGATCTGGAAATCAATAGCAATTATATAGGAGTTGTAGAAGTTTGTTGGGAGGCCAGACTGTGATAGTCATGAGCCGGGATTAAGCTTGGTGCTACTTCTTTGTTTTTTTTTTTCTTTGTTGTTGAAGATTAATGGATAGTTTTTGAATACTGAGAAGTACATCTGTTGAATAAATCAGAGATTGATTTATGAATTATTGATTATGTAATTAGAATATTATGTAATTGAATTAAATGAGAAGTTATTGGAAGATTGATTATGGATGGAAGATTATGATTGTTGTTTATCGAGAATTGTGTGTGTTTTGGACAGAGGAAGTCTATGATTACAGAAATTCTGTGAATCCAGATTGGTTGGATTGAAGTCTGTTATTTCTGATGTTGGATGGAATTTATGAGTTTTGAGCAATCTTTTAAGAGTGCAAGGTTGCACACTATAGTTATCAGTTGATGAAGGAGTATTATTACTTGAAGGAAGTATTGTAGTATTTCTTAGTATTTTAGTGGTTTGGAATATAGTTAATCGTGTGACTCTAACAAATAAAGCTCATATGCTTAGTCTTTCCCTGTGTTTGAATTCCCCTATACAGGTTTATTTTGAAAGGAATTTGTAGAATAAGTAAAACAATAATTACATTTTGGCGCCACTGCCGGAGATTGACAATAGCATTCACTGTTAGGAATTAACTACCGGATGAGTAGGTGGGAAATAAGAAGCAAATTTAGCATTATATAATGAAAGATTATGATTATTAAGAATGAGAACATTACAGTAAAGAAAACATGACAGTTGAAAGAAAGACAAGAGAGAGCGCAAGCAAGAGAATCATTACAAAATGAGCAA